TTTTTTATTTTGCTTTTCCCTTTTCTTTTTTTTTTTTCTCCCTTGACCCTCTTTCACCCTTTTGGAAATATTTTTTTACCCAATTTTTTTTTTGCCCATACCCATACCCATACCCATACCCATACATACATACAAAGCCCCCCCTCTTCTCTTTTCTCCCACTCCGTCTTGGTTCGCACTATTCAATGCCAACTATATCCTCCGCTCATCTTGACCAAGACTCTCCTCCTTCCTCACACCTTCTTTACTCTCAATCTCCCCCATCTGTTGATCCTATCCCGGTCTCTACCTCCCCGGTTGAAACTCGCCCTCGTACTGCTTCCGCTCCCTCCCTACAGCACAACTCCGCACCCTCCGCTGTTGTCGCCCCCTCCCAACCCGCCACCACCACCACCACCACCACCACCAACAACACCCCAACCGGATTCACAGGCTCAGTAATTGGATCCATTTCACGTCGCAATCGCCGTTCATTCGCTGCGTTAGCTCGTGAAAAGACTTCCAACGCCCTTGCGAACCTTTCCTCCATAGGAGCGCCGAATTACCCCCTCCGCTCCTCTGCCTCATCGGGAAGCCTGTCGAAACATTCGCGCAAGGCCTCGCAGGTCAGCGTCAGCGAAGCGCCAGGTGCCACGCCGTTAACTCCGCCATTGTCGGACGGTAGCGCCAGTAGTGAATGGTCCAGTCCCGCGCCCTTCGACGCCGCTACTAGCCGTTCTTCCCCGGCCGTGGTTGAACAACAGACCAGTTCTGTTGAGAGGCGCCGTTACACCCTCCAGCGTGCCCCGTCCCCACTTGAGCAACTACCCGAAGTCGGACCTACCGTATCTCCCGCCAAGATGCATCAAACATCCTCGCGGTTATTGCGTATGACGGAGGATGACCGTCCATTCACAAAGGTAAGGTGACCCAATTGTGCGCTAAAGTGGCCGACAGGGCGAGAAGTAAAGAGATGTCTGGGATTATACTCAAGGGCGGTAATTGTTAACACAAGTGGTCTCTTTGTTAGGATTTCATGGACTTATTCTCGACATTGATGGTCAGCTTGAAACTGGATTCGCATCGTGTGCGGTTTACGAAATATGACCACTCCTTTACCTCGGAAGAAGCCATCAACAATCTCGGCTCTCTCAAGTTCTCCCAGTCGAACCGTATGCCCGACCCTAAAGATCCTTCGCGTATCGTTACAACCACAACGACTACCACCTTTTCCATGGCCAAGGAAATGGCTCGTTCAGTATGCCAGCGTTTTGTCGATGCCCGCTTCATCGAGGCCGTGGATGGCAAATCGGCACAAATATTTCCGTTGAAGGGCGCCTTGTACCAGCTTACGCCGAAGGGAATTAATATCTTGCAAAGATTCTGCCAGAGGAACGGTATCACTGCCCGCCATGTGATTGACGTGCTGGAGTCGCCCCGCAACACGATGCAATTGGTCAACCTGGAGCGCGATACCGATACAGACAAGCTGTCACACGATCGAGCGACTATTGAGGTCATCTTTCGCCGGTTTGCGGGGCAGGATGGTCCCAACGTGAAGAGCAGCATCTCTACTTCAGATTCGGATTCCCTGAGTGATTACTCTAACGGCTTGGTTGGTGTGAAGATGGCGAAGGAGCGCAAGATCAACGACAAGATCGTCATCAACACGTTCACCGGAAAAGCCGCGGTCGATTGGTTGATGGATTGTTCCACCACAATTGAGCGCCGTGAGACCGTTCTCATTGCCGAGCTTTTCGTCAAGTACGGCTTGATTACGATGCTGCAGGAAGACCGCTTCATCAACCAACCAGATGACTCGATAGTTGCGTTCCAGCCTTCGAAGAATGCGATCTACGGCATCACGGACCGGGGCCAGCGAGTTTGCGGGTGGATCGCACGGGACAAGTCTCGTGAAACCACCATGTACGACAATCGTGGCATCCCGAAGGACTCCAACAATGCCCGTTTGAACCACATTCTTCACGACCCTGCCCTACGACTCCTGTTCCGCGAGTTCCTTCGCTTTTCCCTCTGTGAGGAGAACCTGTCGTTCTACCTCGACGTGTCTGAATTCACTTCAGCCTACCACAAGGCAGAGAAGTTGGGCACATTCAGGAAGCCGGATGCTGTCCGTGAGACACTGGCTGCAGCATATGGTAAGCGCTCTCAATGACAATGATTCTTCTGCGACTAGCAACTAATGAACCTGAATAGGTCTCTACAATGCGTTCCTGGCACCGGGATCCCCTTGCGAACTCAACATCGATCACGCGCTGCGCAACAGTCTGGCAAGCCGCATGACCAAGGCCGTGGGCGACGATGAGTCGATGCTTAAGAGTCTGCAGGAGGTGGTGCATCTGTTTGAGATGGCTCAGACCTCGGTCTTTAAGCTGATGTCAAGTGTAAGTTCACCTTGTCACACTTTGTACCAGCGGTAAAAGCTAACCCACAATAGGACTCCGTTCCCAAGTTTCTGCGTGATCCGAAGTGTGCCAGCATCCTTCAGGAACATGACGTTGACCTGATTGGTGCCCCCCGGGCTTACTCTCCCACGCCTGCTCCAGTTCCGGAGCGCTCGGCGAGCCGCTCAGCACGGTCATGATAGGGGCAGCATGTGTGTCATGCAGGGATCCCAATCCTGTCCGAACAGGCCTTCACCTTGGTGATTACTAAAAGATCTGACGGCACGTGGCTTGCACTCGGACTTCGCCGATCCAAGATGAAACACACTCTTACTGCACAGCGCGGTGTTAATTGACGGAACGACTTGAACATGATTTTACTTTTTGGCTTGATCTGAGTTGCCAGTCCAATGTCGACTAGGCACCGGTCTAGCCAACACATCCTTCCCACCAAAAGCTTGGGAGCACTCCCAAACCTCCTGACACGACATGATACACGTTATGCGTCTCCGATACGAACGCTCTCCCGTTTCTATAATCTCTTTCTCTTCAATTGCCGCTTGGTCCCCGCCCACGCCGCTTGCCATTGACGACAGGGCATTTCATGGGGTTACCAAGTCCGCACGACCAATGACAGACGTTACGATCTATGGATCATGTGATAGAGATGCCGGAACTGAACCATTTTAATACACCGATTCCTTTTCTACCCCCTGTTTCGTTTTCTTTTTTTTCCTAATTTCCTTTTATACATCTGTGAACCGTGACGCATGGACGGAGATTGAAGAGGAGAAAGGCTGAAACACGAGAAGTATTCCAGCATTAGAGAGGCGTTTTAGTACTCGGTTCTTTTACCCTTACTTGTTTGCATCATATCCGCATGATTTTTCCTCTCAAGATTTCCTTTTTCGTCTCTCATTCTTCCGGTCTTCTTTTCCTCTTTCCTATATATGTTATTTCCTTTGTTCCGAGTTGATGTGTATGTTGTCATACGTCCCCTGCATCGAGCATGGATACGCGCATTTTGATTTGCATTTTCAGGGTACAGCGAGTGTGGCTTTTTTCCTACAAAATCTATCTACCTGATTGAATATGCGAGGGATGTCCTCTCGCGATCAGAGAAATCTAAAGAACAGAAATAAATAAATAAATAAATATTCAAAGACATGATCTACTTCCACTGGCACTCTAGGCAACAATTGTAACATCCGTATTCAGCAGACAAAGATAGTAGATGAACGAACCCTTCTCCGCATTTCAATACTTAGTAGTACCCGACCAGAGCCCAGCCCAGATACTCAACTACGGAGTACCTACTAACTAAACTAACTAGTACCCAAAAAGGCAATCAATTCGACTCCCCCGACCCCAAACTGCCAAATCTCGTATTCATCGATCAGACATTCGCTAGTATATACCTATTACACATGTTAACTGTCACTAAAGTACTATACTATACTATACTAAAGTAATAATATTACCATACATACAATCTTACATGCATACACACATACATACAGACATAGTACACAACAAAAAGGGTAAGCTGTAACTGGCTGTGCAGCGCAGCGCACGCACATGGCTGACACGTGGTTTAAGTTAAACACGAGATGCTGATGCTGATGCTGATGCTGATGCTGATGCTGATGCTGATGCTGATGCTGATGCTGATGCTGATGCTGATGCTGATGATGTGAACATTGAATATGGGGGGCCATGTGATTGACCTACATACATACATAGTATGTACATACCTAATGACTAGCATGACACTACAGGATAACTTTGAATCTGGAGTCGTGTCAAACCTGTATGGGTAGGTAGTTCGTTGGATGCTTGGCTGTAGTGTGTTGTGTTGTGGTGTGTATTGACGGGCATATTTGCTTTTTCTTTGCTTTTATTCTTTGCTTTATTTTTGAGAGGTGTAGGTCAAATACGTATCTAGTATCTATTGCATGTGTGCATGTATGTATCTGCTAGATTATACATTAGTAGAAGAAAGTGTTATTCCTTATCTATGGAAGTACAAGCAATAAGTACTAGTGATGAAGACGTGGGAGGGTAATACTACTACGAAGTATGTATTGTAGTATGATATTAATAGAATAGGATAGAATTAGACAGCAGGATCTAGATACTAGCGAGGTGAAGTACCTCTGTAAATTGTAAAGATATACCATTTATAGCCAAAGTTTAGTTAATTTCAGATGTCATAGACAAGATAGTAATAATAGAGAAGATGTAAAGTGAAAAGGGGAAAAGTAACGCAACGCAACGCCAAAAGAAGAAATTGACACCGATACAATACATACATACATACGCCTGTGAAAGAAAACCCGAATGTAACGAAATAACTAACTAGCTAGCTAGCATGATATGCAATAAGTAGGAATAAAGAAAATAAAAAAGGAGATGGAGGTAAAATGATCAACATAGTAGCTGGGGTTCGCTTGTTTCCAATGTCCGGAGTTAACTCCGCATTCGGGAGGGCGCAATTTCCGAGCCAAGCAGGATCGGAGTTTATTTTCTTTTTTGGGGGCTGATATGGCATGGCATTCCATTTCATTGTCAGGGGGTATGTTTCTTTCTTTTCTTGGTTTCTTCTTCTGCTGTTGATCTTGCGGGTTTACCGGCAGAGCTGAGGAGGTAGGTAGGTAGGTGGATAGGTGGTATCGATACAGGATCCTGTGGGAACCAATAGAATGGGTCCGTTCGGCGCGAAGGCATAAAGTTTGACGGAAGGCAAACTGCAAAGAGTAAAGAGTGTTTGAATGATTGAAACGAAGTGTGTTTCGAATTATCTCTCATCATTGCTGCTCCTGTTCGCACGGACCGATAGGTCTAATTTTGGGATTGGGGGGATGATGAGAGGAGAAAAAAGTGAAACATGACACACGCACACGCACACGGTGGGTAGTTTCTACTTTGATCCCCAGCCTCGGAGTCTCATTCCCTCTTCAATCGCCGTCCAGATCCCCTCAACCACTTCCCGATCACGCCACCGGCCCGCTCCGTGGACTCCTCCCTTCTCGTCCCAGCGCTCGACCGCGTAGCTCTGCACGCCTCGGCCCCAGCTCTTCACTTCTCGAGGGATATCCTCTCCACGCCATCCGACATACACACCTGTGGCATGCTTGAAGAGCTCCGGCGGCGAGGACCACTTGTATGACTTGAACTGCCAGGTCTGACCCGTCGTGAACACGGCAACCAGACGCTGCCAGTAGTCCGGCCGGAAGTTGGCTGTGCTATCGACCAGAATGAAGCGTGTAGGTTTCCGGGACGTGACCTGCGAGGAGCTGCCGCCACCGGGGCGGAGAGAGGAGCTGGACGGATCCGAGTGCATGCGGAGCGGGCGGGAGATGTAGAGGATATTGGAGTTGGACATGGAAAGAGTAGGGTGATCGGGAGGGATGAAGACACCGTCCTGCAGGAAGGAGCGCACGTTGGACATGCGGATGAGCGATGAGGCCGAGGGCGAGAGGAGAATGATGGGATCTTGCGTCTTGCTTGCCTTGCGTGGCTGGGACAGACCGGCCGACGGCGACGGCACCACCATGGATTGCGGCTTGCTGCCGGCTTTCACACCAGCAGGGTATTGTCCCGGCCGTGAGCGGTTGCGTCCGAGCATGGATTCGGCGGTTTTGCGGACGTGAGAGAAGTCCTACAATGATCCCTATTAGCACACTGTGTATATAGCCTTGCTTTCTCTCCCTCTGCATGAACGTACCGTCGGCTTAATTCCCCGTAGCACGCTATTCCGATCCCCCATCTTGCGCTCCCCATTATAGATCTCCTGCAACCTAGGATCGATAACCTTAGCCGCCTTACCCTGCTGAGTCTGCGCGGCACCACCACCCCCAGGAGCACCACTCGGTACAGCAGAGACACCACCGGCAGCCCCCGAAGCAATATTCGCTGACGCCTGCGCCTGAGCAGCAGCCGAAGCGGCGGCGGCAGCCGCAGCAGCGGCACCCTCCAACGGCTTGATATATTCACTCTCATCAGACGCGCCCTCCAACCAAGTTAGGAGATCCAAGCGCTCGACGAAAACGAGGTTCTGAACTTTCTCCTCCTCCTCGCCTTCCTTGCGCTCCTTCTGCTTTAGCGACTCGTTAAGCTCCTGCGCCGAAGCAATGTACTCTGGAATGGCGACATCTTTCTTCTGCCACGCGAAGAAGATACTGCGGAGGTCGACGGCGGAGTCGGAGGAGCTGGAGACGAAGCGGGTAGGTGTTGTGAGGGGGATTGTTTGTGGGAGGGGATGTTGGAAGTAGAGATGGGTGGCTTTTGCGAGGTCGTCGGTCGCATTCTGGTCGGAGAGGTCGCTGGAGGTTGTTGGCGTGGGGAGGTTGCCGGCCGCGATGGCGCGACGGAGCGAGAGGAGAGGATCTTGCAGGGAGGGATCGGTGGCCATGGTGGCGTGTGTGGATGTGAATGTGGAGGACTGGTAGATGATGCTACCGCTCCGGGAGTTTGAAATTGTGTGCTGGAAGTTGAGCAATGGATGAGGTTGGGGGAGGTGTTACTCGTAGCTTTCGAGATGCGCAGGAACTGCGGAGTGCACGTGATCTCGTCCGCCCTGTACATGTTTATATGCGCGGAACTTATCCAACCACTTCTGAATAGGAATTTATTTAGTGCATTGAATTATTGCTATGGTTTGGTGAATGATGTTATTAACACAAGCAGAGTTGTCGGTGATGCCACATCCAGCTCCATCCTCCAAAAATAGCTGTTACGCCAGTGAATAGAATCAATGCCCCATAGTCGGTGGTATACCCGATCTCCCCGTTTTCTTGCCCGGTAATGGAACCCCGCTGCATGAGAGCTGAGCTCAATGGGCCACTAATAACACTGCCAATGCCTCTTCCACCGGCTAATAGCCCGAACACTAATCCGGTTTCCAGCGAGGGAACCTCGCGCTTGACTTGGGTGAGTACACCCGACCAAGTGGAACTGAAACCCCCGGCAAAGAATCCGTATGTGATGGAGAAGAGAACTAGAAGAGCGACGGCGGCCTGTGGAAAGTTTGCAGATGGGGAAGATGTTGACAGGCCCCAGAACAGCAGGACAGACATTCCAGAGCCTACAGAGGAGAGCAGCATGATATTGCTGACGGCGAAGCGATCACAAAGAGATCCCAAGACTATTCCACCTACAACAGAGGTGGCGTTGAATAGTGCTACTAGGAGAGTCCCTGTGGTGTCTGACAGGCCAGCTGCAGTTGTTGTATACGACGGTAGATACGTGCTGGGCAAAAAGTAGCCGAAGCTCTGGATGATATTCCCGAGCTGGAGCATCCAGAACGTGGCCAGTTTCAGGAAGGCGAGATTCAGAGGCTGCGGAGTGGTAGATGAGGCTGGAGGGATTCGTGGTCTGATGAAAGGAAGGGTCACAGCAAGCGTGAGTAGCTACAATGCCTAGTCAATTTGAGTATTAATAATAAGACAAGCAAACGACTGACCGTGACTACCGTCCAAGCCCTTAGAGTCGTCTTTGCTCCAAATCGGTCAAGACAAGCACTCGTCATGAAGGGCAGAGCTACACCGCAGATGCTCTTACCAGCCCACATGATTCCATATGCGAGACCTTTGCGGCGAACAAACCACTGATCTAGGTAGAGTGTAGTAGGACTGAAGACGAGGCCATTTCCAAGACCACAGATCACGCCCTGCGTCACAATCATCTGCCAGAAAGTTGTAGCGAAAGAAGACAGCAGAGAGCCCCCGACACTGAGGGCTAGTCCGACAAATGCACAGGACATTGGGAGATGCGGGTAGCGGGTTAAGAGCGTGAACGTCAAAGGTGACAGAAGATAGAGGATTCCCTGTATGAAGAGAAAGACGTCAGCCATATGGAGATGAAAATAATGTTAATAAAAGGCAATATTACTGTTGCCGTGGTCCCCATGATTGCCAGACCTCCTTTACCTCCCTCAAGGTCATTATGCGTCTCAAAGTATTCCTGGAAGATACCGGCAACGAGAGAGAACCCTGGAGTCCCGAATGAGCAGACATATAGCTACAGTTGGGTAAGTAAATGCACACCCCAGACCGGCAACTGAATTAAACAGCATGAGGCGAGTATTAACCAGGCACCTTTGCCCTGGTCCACCGGTGGCAGCGGGACTTGCTCAAGTTCATGACGGGGGGAGCTGTTGGACTCTTCAATGGATGGATGAGAAGATGAGTGATGTTCAGACCTTAAATCGGCCAGTTCGTGAGATGCCATGTCTGAGATTCGATAATTCTTATGTAACTGATAAGAAGAACAGAGAAAAGATAGAAGGACAATGCCCGAGTAAGTGGATGACTACCCCGCAACCCCTCAAGCCTCAGCATGAACGAATCATAAGTAGTCTTCATAATCGTAACGATCATCATAATGGTTATGCTCATATCAATAAGCTATCTACAAGACACCTCCCATCATCCCATCAAAATTTTACACAGGAATCCCCAAAGTCTCCTTAACATCCTCCCCCCTCAACCATTTCTCCATAGCCTCATACATGCCCCGGAACTTATCATTATCCTCCATCGTCGGCAAATCCAACTTGATCTTATGTCCCAGCCTTGCCTGAGACGCACCCAGATACCTATATCCATACGGATACGGCTTGAGCTCCTCCTCCGAGAAATCAGGCACATGCTTGCCATCCACGGGCATGATCTTATCCTTCTCATAGAACAAGCGCTTGTAGTGGACCTTCCACCCGGCCGGATCCTTCTGGCACCACATGATAAAGCGGCAGTCACATTCAACATCAAACTCAATGCCATCAAATGAGAAGCGCTGTGTGATGGTGGCCTTCATTTTTCCGACGGCACGGCCTGTCTTGGAGTTCAGCTCCACGAGAGTGCCGTTTTCGCGGTGCATGATGTGGTCGCCGTTTCGACGGCCCTTCTTGGAGACTTCGATGAATTCGTCGATAGGCATGCCGCCGCTCCATGCTGTAGATTGAGTAAACCATGTTAGTGAGGTGTTTTCGAGGAGAGGGGTAAGAGATATAAATGAGTGAGACAAAGGATATGGATGAGAACTTACTGGTAAAGATGTAAGCCTGTTCGGCAAAACAGTTTCGGTAGTGAGCCCATTCAGAAGCATCTCGGTATACCGGCCATCCCTTCAGGAGCTCGGTGACACATAGCCGATCCAAGATCTCTTCTGTAGTGCCATTGATGTGGCTGTGGATGGTAGGTTGAGGATCTTCGGCGGTGATGTTAACGACCATGGTGTAGATGTGCTAAGTATAGATCGACAAGGGAAAGGAATGCTATTCGATGGAAGAAATAGTAATGATTGTAGAAGTGTCTGATTCAACCAGGAACCATCCAGGGCATCGTCACGACAATATATACTTCTTTCATAGTTGTGATGGAGTAGTATTTGCCTGTCTGTTTCGGCAAACCCGAAAGCCGACAGTCAACCTTGTCCTTGATGTCATCCGATGGGAATGATATCAGGCAACCAACGAGCCGGCCTCGTCATTCGCAGTGGGTCGGTGGAGCCGGATAGCGTCTAGATGAGTTTGTCTGGACACCCATTCCAGACTGAGCATTAGTATTGAGAATGCAGGGCGTCCATACTGCCCGGTATCCCGAGTCAGCATGATAACCGGCATCTCTCAGACTTGCTAAATCATTTCTTGAACTAATAATTTAACGAGATCTTGTTACTGTCATCATCTTCAACGGACAAATACTCAGCCGTACCTCAAACCCCTTGCAAGATAAGCAAGGCAACATACTCTTGATGCTGAGGATCAGTCCATTGGAGCGGCTTATAGCTATTCCTCCTTACCATATCTCTTTGAAACAAAGGAGCCAATAATGATGAGAATCGTCTCCTACACGGCACATTGTGATCCATATTCAGTGAGATAAGAGGCGTGGCAGTGGCACCACAAGACTCATCAACCGATGGTCCAGGAGCGGCCGAGACATCGCTGAATACGGGCCTGCAGCTATGCCGACTCTGGCATACCGAATAAACAAGATCGAGACAATAGACTCAACGCTTCGGCGAGTGGCGCGGGCGGGAAAAGTCTCGAGGCCCAAGGCGCGCCTCCCTGGTAATTCTTTATCCGCGTCCCGGCCCACGTCTCGAGCCAGAGCTATGATGAAAGAGCTGTCGCTTCAAGTCTTGTTTGGATGGGGAATGAAAATTAATGGAAGTAGTTGTTGATCATGCGTTGCTCTTTCTTACAGGTGGAGAGCCCGATCGGCTAGGAAGAAAAAGTCCCTGCATATCCGGAGCACTTAACCCTCCCAAGCCCATTCTTAGGCTCTCCTTTCCTTCATGTTCTATATCCCGGTTTCCTCGAAAGCCATCCAAAGCTTATGCAGAGCACAATGGGATTTTGCCTGACGTCACCAAGATGACTAGAAACCAGCCCAGCAACGTGTACCTTAAATGCATTCAGCTACGGAACCAGTGCCATCGATTAACATTCAAGAAGAATTTCATTCGTCATGATCCACTCCGCAGAGCCCGAATGTTCGGCGCTTGGGGAGTCATGTCACAAATATCCTAGTAATAAAAGAGGAGAACGGAAATTGAAAAGGGAAAGAAAAAAAGTCTGACAGTAATAATGACAATCGTGAAGCAGGCGCTCACATCATGACCCGTAAAGGTCCTCCTGAAAACCATTTCCCATGCCCATAACTCATCCGGAGTATTTCCCTGAACCAGCTCCATTTCCAACACGCCGAATACGCCGGTCAAATCAAAACCGCTCCGCCGGCTGAACGCCTGTCAATTCCCATCGTGTACAAGTCGAAGCAAAAGAAAGAAAAGGGGAATGAAGTAAAGAACAAATTCGCAGAAATTGTTCCACAAAGAAAGTAATCAACGCGTATTATATCGTGTAAACCCCGACTTCCAGGGGAGTAATCCACATGAGATAGCATCAGATCGTCACGTCGCTGAGGGTATGTGTGAAGTCTGCGTAGCTCCGGGAATATCCTTCATGCTGACATCCTGGGGCCCCCGTTCTGGCTTCGGCACTTCGTCGCCGGTCGCCTTGGCCGCCGCGGAAGAGTTGTGCCCAGCAGCAGCTCCATCACGGCCGGTCGGAGGCGGTACAGGTGGTGTGGGCGGTAGCATGGCGGTAGCCTGAGCTTGAGTTTTCTCAGACGTAGGCGTGGTCATGGTGCCCCGGCGAATGAGATAGTCACCCAAACTGAGTTTCTTTTTCACCGGACTAGGGCCTGCCACGCCAGACACCGGCGTGGTGGGAATGTGGGGTTGCGAAGTCACATCAGTTAAAGGTGAGGACAACGCCGATGGGGCTGTAGACCCTGGGCTGGTGGCCGAAGGGGGCGGAGGTAGCGTTGCGGGGGGCAGAGGAACGCGGAGATCAGTGTTGCGCTGTTTATGCACAATATTACTAGGTATCCGAGCTTTGTGCGCTGCAGTTGATGGCCAAGGGGGCGGCACGGGCGGCTTGACCGATCCCCGTCCTGACAAGGGAGATGCATCGAGATGTGTAACGGAACGGGACGGCGAGGTCTCTACTGGCGAATCAACATCCCTCATCTCTGTGTCCTGGATGTCGGCGGATATGCTGGGAGTTGTGGCTGTTAATGGCGCTGCCTCATGCGGGCTCGTGGAAGTCGGCGAAGAGTCAGAATGCTCGAGAAGAGAAGTTCGAGGAGTAACAGGGGATGGGCTGCTTTGCTCAAGCTTGATACGATCAGAATAGCATCTTTTCAGCAAACGCTGAGTCAAGGGCACGAAACAAGGTCGACGAGGGGAAGGCAGGGAAGGCGAAACCACACCATCGCTAGCATCCGGCTCGGTCTGTATAGCGGAGTCCACGTAATGTGAACGCCCCAGAGGAGACCGCCCAGGTGTGCTGTGACTGCCGGATGTTTTGCGCGGTGAGCCATGACGCATTCCGGGAAGCGAGCCCACAGGTCCGCCCGAGGGAGGAGAATATGACTGGCGTTCGCGTGGAGCATGGCTGGATTGACCACTAGCCCGTTTCTTCTTTCTGTGTGATGCTTGGTCCTGCTCCAGTTGTTGAAACTTCTTCTCTGCTGCAGCGATCTTACGCTTGTCTCGAGCCGAAAGTTCCGATTCCCCGAGCAAAAACGCTTCCGTAGGAGTCTGTAAAGTAGGGGTGAGATCCCGACTGCGAGTTTGACCTCGGATAGAGCCCGATGCAGAACGGCTATCAGCCTGATCATCTTCATCAAGGTTCTTAGTAGTCTCACTACCCGCCCGACTTGTGGTTGCAGGCGGAGAAATATTCGCCTTGGGCTTTGTCTTCTTTCGCTTAGCACTCGGCTGTTTCGCATTCGCATCCATCAACTTGGGGTGACGTCGTCGATCAACGCTGGACAGCAAACAGTTTGCGGGAGGGACGCAGGCGCATCCACCAAAGTGGGCGAGGACATTACTGATGCAGATGGCAGGCGCATCGTGCGTGCTGTCACTGGCCTCCTGCTTGACTATACCATTGGTAGACTCAAAGAGTTGAGGATCTAGGTACCACATAGCCGTGATTTCCGAGTCTGCAGCAATGTCTTCCTTCGCCACAAAGCAGAAGTGGTACTCTACCTGATTCGTGATGTAGGTTTTCATGGTAACATTCGGCCGGCAGGAGCGCCGCACGTAGCGGAGCACGCTCCCCTCATGTCGACTATCGATGTAAATTGGAAGCTGAGGGTGGAAAAAGACAAAGGGCTCAGGATGACGAAGCTCTTGCCATCGATTACTGGGGTCAAGACAATAGTCGCGTAAGAAACCAAGCTTGCCCGTGATTTCACCGACAATTTCATCTTTGCCGACACGATCGCGAGTTTTGAGGATTTTCCAGGTTGGATGTTGGCCTTCCACCTCAATGCTCGAGTCCGTGATCGTTTCAGTAGACAATGTCGGCCAGCGTGATCTGTCAAGTGTTGCACCAGACCACGTGAAGATCTCTTTTGGGGAGCGCCCATTCGTGATGCGGGTAACAGCCTCCGGCTCCGTGACCCAGGCAGCAAAATCCGCCGCAAGATGCAGATTCACAAACAGGTTGCTGTCTATGTTGGCATAGTCTTTCCCTTGATCGTAAAGGTGAAGGAACTCGTGCGAATACAAAGGAATGGAAGGCCCTGATGCCTTGGTCGGGCTCATGGAGGGTGCTGCCCGCTTGCGCGCATCAGAGGGTAAGTTGGGTGCATTAGACACGGAGCTTACCGACCCCGAGGAACGATGATTGGTTTTGACCTTCTTTGCAAGGGGCTGATCCCGGGCGCTGGATTCCGACCGTTGGTGGAAGCCGTTTACCTGATCACCACCGTGCTCCTTGACCTTCTTCTTATGACTCTTCGCACCGGACCGTTTCGCTTTCCGGTCACCGCCGTCGTTCTGTTCTCTGAGACGCCTCTGTCGTTCCGTAGCGCGCCGGCCATCGAGGGAACGCGGCTCGCATTCCACGCAGTTATGGACTTCTGGCACATCTCGGCCATGATAGTAGCATTCGATATGCTGCCAGGTTTCGCACCCTTCGCAGAAGACCGTATTACCATCGTCATCCTCGAAAGCGCAGATGCACTTGATGGTATACGGCTCTTCTTCGTCAGGGGCGACCGAGTCAGAAACAGCGCCGTTTACGATGGGCGAGTTCAGAGGGGCGGTGACCGCAGGGGGCTCCGTGGTTGGATGCGTGATGGCGACTGGGGAGGTATCTGTCATAATCCGACAGAATACCCCCTCTTGAGCTGAACAGAGAAAAATGCGCTGTTGAGGGTTCGAGGGGACGAACGGTATTACGGGAACCTGTCAAAACCCAGCACGCATATCACCTGTTGCTCACTGATAGTCGTCGCCTGACCTAGGTTCTCACGACAGTCCACAGTGACAGAAGGGATGGTTCGACCTTGGAAGATGATGAAGCCAGGTGATGAAGTCCACAATGTGCCACCCTCTTTATCGATGAATGAACCGGCAAGGAATGAGCCCGCGAGGGTAGGAAGGCCGATAGAGGTTGCTCAGCGATGAAAGGATCGTATTACTGCGAAAGATTGTCAAGGGACACCAGGTTCGAAAAGGGACAGGTTGAGCGAAGTCTCAGTGGAGTCGTCTTCCTCGGTGGCGCGTGCGACCGTGAGCAAGTAAGAAGTCGAAGATCGGTAGCCGATGATTGTGAGTAGGCGGACGGACCACGAATCGCATGGA